AAATTTCCCTACCCCCCCCCCCCTTTTCAGCCCCTAACCAGCCCCTAGGGGGGCAGGCTCACGCAATTTATACAAGCAGACCCTCCTCCCCTAATAAGTGTTTCTCTCAAATATGAACAAAGTATTTTCAAAACAATGGAAGATATGGCCTGTCATGTCTATTTCCTATATAAACTATACTAAATTTCACCCCATCCTCAGGGGCAAACGGGGGCCCTGGGAGACATAAAAATCGCAAATTTTATAAACCACCCAAATGCCATTACAGCTATGGGTAGTATTTGGTGTTAGCATTTCTGGAAATGGAGAAAAAGATTTTTTCTTTCTTCTTAATTTCCCCCTTTTTGGCCCCTTACTAAACCCCCTAGGGGGCCACACCCCTATTTCATAAATCCATTGAGCCCCTGGTCGCAAGGATGCTTCATATCAAATTTAGTTAAAATCCAATCAGTCGTTCAGGAGATAAAGACTTTTAAAGGGAAAAGTTGACACCGGACGACGGACGACGGACGTCGCGGTACGGCATAAGCTCACCTGCCCTTCGGGCAGGTGAGCTAAAAACAGTTTTCAATTGTAAAACAGATTAGTATTTGTCAGCTTATTTTAGCTTATTATATAGAGGTTACACAACGAGTGGTTGTTGTATGTGGCAACCACGAGTTTGTGTGACCTGTTTCTACCACAATAAAAAATATTCCGAGGAAATTGATATGTATTTTTGTTTACGATATCAGATGGGGCGTAAGGATATGACCTGTAGTAAAATGCCGCTAATTAATATGCAAAAATGACAATTTCAGAAATATGTGGAAATATTATGATTTATTACAAATCAGAACAAGTACGTAACATTTATTGTCTTCAAAGCAATAAGTTTATAGAAACCAACATAAGAAATTTATTATCACAAAAACAATGACGAACAACTTTCTGTGTATCATCATTTCTGCCACAGCATGAAGCGGCTTTCCCGCCAAATTGTCCATTCAAAGGAGTCCCGGTAAAAGTTTACCCTGTCAGCCAATCAAAACGCGTTTAGAATTTATACCACGTGTGGTATAAACAATATGTTATACAACAGTTGTAAAGATTAATTGATGCCTTGGGAGTTGAATAAAATCCCACCTATTGTGGTAGAAAATAATTTATTCAATTTTAATGAGCAGCATTTCTTAATGATTTAGAGATTTTTATAGGAAATAATGTATATTTTTATCAAATGTCGATGTGTAATTGTTATGTTCGTAAAACAGCTTACTATCGATATGCTGACCATGTAAAAAAAACCCATTGGAAATAAGCAACTTTGTGGCTTTTATGGGTAATCCTAGATAAATGGCACACACCACTACTATTATGCGACTTATTTATATCTACTTTTATGTACTAAAAAATAGTCTGTCTCCTTTTATAATAATATCTGGGTTTTTTTTACAGTGGACCTTTTTTTAGATTTTTATACTCCGTGATATATGTCAAGGATTGAATTAAGAAACCTTTTATTATGATAGATCTATTCTTATTCTCAGTCTTAATACAAAACATTCTTTTTATTTACAAGCTACATTGTGATCTTAATTGTATGTTTTATTCTCAAATTGTGATATCTTGTAATAATATGCCTATTTTACCTGAATAAATACTATTATTATTATTACTGACGTTAATGTCGGCAACAGCTGAAGGTCTATAATCGCTGCTATTTTTAAAAGAATATTTCCAAAATACGAAGTTGTAGGGGGAAATAAAAGGATGCTACATTTTCAAAAGGAAACGAACTTGTGAAATAGAAATACTCATTTCCCTTTTTGCTTACAACGTCTTCTTTGATTTATGTCGGCAAAAATCGGAGCAGGCCCAAATAATGTTTATTATCACATAACTCATTGTTTTACAAATTAGTTGTTTTGTTCGATTGACTCGGGTTTTGCTATACTGTTATTGTTAGAAGGTATACCATTGTTGAACTCCTGTATATCCCCTTGTTAAACCATGTTTGCCTGTCATGATGCAACACCTGTTGTACCATCTGTTATACACGTAAAAACGTGCCCGAATGAAAATCCTGGAAAATTTAAGGTTGTGGTATGACGTCACAAAATGTTTCCATTATTTCCGAGCTTGAGCCGTGTCTGTCCGACGTGCTCCGACGTGCAATGACCAAGCTAAGGCCGAGTGGTCACAGGTATACGCGCCCCGCGGTACGTAACCATCTTAAACTAATGAACGCCGTGGACTTGATTGGTTTCATCTTTTTTAATGTCCAATTAACAGCTAAGGACGTACCTCCATGGGTGTAATACTAATGTAGTGAAGTGACATAGCCACAAAACCAGACCGTCGACATCAGCAGCATGACTGACCTAAATTGTGGAGGAAAACTCTCAACGAATTCTTTATCTTGTTGAGTTTAGATTGTACCGGGTATTCTTGTACAACTGAACACAAGCTTCTTCAACGACAGTATCCTGCCCCTTCTTTGACCAGCTTTCCTTCGGAAGCCTCTCTCTAGGCCAGGCCGCAAGTGGTCTTTCAATAGCCCTCATCGGTCTTGGGGCGGTCATCTTTATTCTGTCGGCCCTGGGAGCGTGCGGCGCGTGCTGGCGCGTGCTGTAGCAATCGTGTACTTCTATCGGTGTACGCCGCTGTTGTATTGGTACTCATGACAGGATAGGTGACGATAGCCATGTTTTGGATTGTACTGAAGACAGATTTAGAATCAAAAGTTAAAGCCGAACTCCTGTCGCAGCTACTAAACAACTACCAGGTTGACGATCTGACGTCACATCAGTTCATACAACTATCGTGCTGTGGTGTTAACGGTGTCACATGACAGACAAACGACTTCGACAACACTGTGTGGCAGGGGACGGCTCCATCAGAAGACATTCCGAAAAGCTGTTGTGGTGCCACAGTCAACGACTACACCACCTTTTCAAACAACGCATGTACAAACACCATTACTTCCGGTTACTATTCTGTCGGATGCTTCGACGCCTTCAAAAACATTCTTTCTACATACAGTGATATTTTTATCGGGATAGGAGTGGCGAGTAATGTGACAGAGACTCTTGCCATTATTTGTGCTATATCTGCATGTAGGAATATCAACAAGGTTCTCTCCATAGCGAGTAAGCAGAATAGAAAGACGTAGGAATTTACCAGACAGTACGATGTCCGCTACAGTATCCTCCTCATTGTTTGTTGTTCATCACTTCATTCAGTTTTGGCATTATCAACCTACTCCTAATTTGATAATAACTTTTGCTTATAAAGGTATTTGGAAGCACGTCAAAAGTGTGAGAGTCAGAAGACAACTCAAGAAGGGACTTGGTCTCCTAGATTAAAATCATAATTCATAAGCATCAGACTCTCGGCGACACACATGTGTAGCAGAGATGGTTTCCGGAGGATCTCCCTTATGATAGAATAGTCATTTTTTCATTGTGTACAGTAATTTGTGTTTCAAAGTAAATATAAACGGGTTGTATATTTTGAATGTAGTTACATATTATTGGAAATATATGCAAGGTTTTGTGATTCTAATATAAGTATTAGCAGTTTAACGTTTCATGTATTTGTATAACACAATGTTTATATAGCTGTCCATTTTTAGAAATCATCTACATAGCACGATATTTCTGTTTATATTAAAGGAATATGATATGTAATAACATAGTGTTTAGGGATAAGTAATGCATTGATGTACCTACTTGTTGTTGTCTGATAGGGTCTAGGACACAGGTATGACAAATCAATTCGGGTGCCATGTGTAATTACATATGCACGTCATTTTACAGGAGTTGTCTCCTCCTATCGCCAGCTGGTCAGAAGAAAATCCGGAACTCAAACTAATTCAAGTTTCATTAACTACTCTCTTCATCTCTGTAGTTAACTGATGTATTTATGTGCATGTAAGAATCAATTAATAATATTTGATTTGTATTTTGACTACACTGTATATTTTTGAAACTCTTCAATTTGGAGGAAATAAAGAAATAATAATAATAGCTGACACAGTAGAAATTTGTGTACCACACAACGAGAATTAAGGTTTGTTAATTGTCGTTCTTTCGGGGCGAAAAGACGACACAACGAGAATTAAGGCTTGTTAAGTGTCGTCCTTTCGGAGCGAAATGACGAAATAAAGAAATGGCACAAATCAGCCACTGTAGATGAGTGTTAAAATAATAAAGAAGACTCTCTGACGTAAACTGGACCCATGATATAGAGGTGTCCCAAAGTTAACATTTGTTCCATCAACTCGCACCTGTCACGTTGTTCGTGTGTATTGAGTGTATGCGACGATTCAAAGATACACTCTGTGATATCTTTATTTGAAAGTTGACCCGACCTACAGGATACAAAGAAACCACATGGCCCTGGTACGCTAGTGTATCTAACCGCAATGATATTTGAATTTGAATTTCGTTGGACTCTCCAGTGCCGTTTGATATCTTGCTCTATATCAAGTTTTTTGAAGCTGTGTAATGACGTCCAACACTATCATCAATATGTCACTACAATACTTGGGTCCGTTTGTTCAAAATTCATACATATAATTCACCCCCGCTCCCACCCAAAATAAAAAGGTACCCCCCCCCCACAACCCCACAACCCCAACCCACTCTCCACCGAATATACAAACAAATTGAAATATTTGCAATCTTTCATAAATATTTTCCAGTAGACGTGGAATTAATGAAACAAATCTCCGCTAAGAACATTGAGCACACTTGCCTATTTACTGCATTGACGTAACCAGTACACACACCCCGTCTGACCTTATGTTTGGCAAGGGATGTTGTTGGATCGAAATCAATTTGCCACCATCAAAAATATCAAGACAGATATTAAATTATGATTAAGAAAACGATTTGTACGAGAACATAGCCATGACGGAAACATAACTGAGCTCGCGCGCGTACATCTCGTGCGCGCCTGTCTCTTCTCATGTTACCAATGCACCCTGCTTCGTATCACTGCGATATGTACTTGTCTAGTGGCACAAGTGGTGGGCTTAGGGCGGTCGTGAGTCAGGATCCCTCCCCATATCGCCTCTGGAGGGTTTATATGTTCGAGCGGAATCATTTCCGTTTGTGTTGTGCGGTCAGCTTGTCTGGAGTGTAGTGATTCTTCCAACGTTATTCACATCAGGAGTTCGTTTGAGGTAAGCTTTTTCAATGGCTATATTTATTATGTTTTTTGTTATATCTGTTAAACTTAAGTGCATATAAATAGGCAATTTTCACTCACAAAATAATAAAAAAATATATAATTACGAAATGTTACTGCGTAAACAATGTCAAAAACATGAAACCTCATTTTTAATACACAAAAAAAACACAATATATAAATCTCATTTGTTTTTGAAAAAAAACCCGCTATTTAATCATTATAATATTATTTCGCTATGTGTTTAAAATTCCAAGTTTAATTCCGAACTATATATTCACGCACCTTTCAAACTTTGTGACTGAACTGTGCGATGATGTAAAAGCTAGGAATAGTTGGATGGGGTTACTTTACAGTGATAAAACCTGTTGGTCACTTTCTGTTACGTGGGGCATGAAATTATTAATCAGTGCAAGGCTTCACCGCAATCGGTCATTCCTGGTTTGAGCTACAGATGGTATACTGTATCTCGGCCGACAGTGTATCCGAGACCCAAACCCGGAGTCCGTGCAAGGCTAAAACGTTTTCTGGCTAAGAACCGGTCAGATGGCTTATCGTAGACAGCTTGTTAGAAACACTTTTAATAACCAATGTCCAGCCAACTTGATCTCCATACCTCCCTGTCTACGGTGGCAGCATTCCAATTCAAATTGGCTCGCGCAATCGAAGTAAATGCCACACAATAGGATCTTTACGTGGACGAGTATACACACAATTTATTATGCAATCAACGAGCGTTTCATCAGCACCAGCGACCACCTATAATATATTCAAAGCACTTCAATTTTACCGAACAGACACCGGAAATATGTTCCACTCTCATAGGCAGGTAGAGTTAAGTAACGAAAATAACGTTTCATACTTAAGAACACTCCATCGCTTATATAATTGCCAGCTCTTCCAATACCAAGTAATCGTGAGATGTTAACCTATCAATGAACTTAAAAGCTGTCTGACTTCACGGACTACAGTTGTTCTCAATCCGAATCCTCTCGGTGTCCGAAACAGGAGTCAAAGTTTTTAATTGATATCAAATTATTTTTACAATGGCTAAACAATGAACATCAAATTTATTCAAGTCGGGTCCATAGCGAAAAAAACACGAGTCACGTACAGTGAATTTGGAAAATCAAATGTAAATAATGAATATTAGTATTTGCCAGGACCCTACCTGCCAGACGTTTTTTCATAATTTTTCTATTAAGCATGGCACATGGGTGTCAACGAGCCACATCTAGAGGTTAACATAAAATGAGTGAAAACCTGGTTGTTATTTGTTTCTTCCGAACGTTTGGCAAATGTTTGCTCAAATCGGGCCTTTACCGCGACTACGCCAAGCTTTCTAACTGATGTTCCATTAACTGGTAATACTCTTAATCGGTAAATATACCTTGTCTACAAAATGGTATTTTAAAAGGGACGGCGTCCAGTAAATGACATGTCCGTTTGTGTCAATGACACAGCTTTGATATGAACTTTCTATTTACTCCGGAACATTGATTGTCCTGGAATGCCACACGAATGAACCACTCACCAACACTTCAGGTTTATTATGGGATTTTCACGCAGTTTTAACATATTTTTTCCATGATGTAATGGAGATGAAAGTGCGTACGTCTGCATATATTTGAGCAAAACACTTAATTAACTCATTATTACTCATTAACGGCAAACGCCGGTTAAGAAATGGTCATTATGTGAAAAAGATATATATAAGATGTTTGTCCATAGTTATACATCGTATACATAAACGAGTACGTTTTTATTTAGATTGATAGCAGGTTCTCTATGTCATGTAGCTGTACTAACACTCCCCTGTACGTGAGCACGTGGACTTCGGTGTCATAGAGATCAGCGACTTCGGAAAGCATCTTGTGGTTGTAAATGTCAAGTTGGGATATTGTGATGGAGTTGGGGAGGGGAGGGGGAGTGGACATGAGTCCCAGATAGGGTCGAAGGCTATAGGAGGGGTGAACGAGGTGCGCTCTGAGACTAACAATGGGGGCGGGCAGCTGTCATGGTTCATCATAGGAAACACCTACACCAATTGCGTACTTACACGGTCTTCGTGGTTCTGGCAACGGTAACACAAAAGCGCGCCAAACAAAACGATCAACTTCACAGACTAACGAACTAATATACAAAAACTAAATATCTGCTGATGCATCATTACTTTGTTTACACACCTCGGTCACATCTACTTCTGTAGGGGGATATAAATTAGCTCACCGATTAATTTGGTGTCGGGAGAAAGATGTGATTCATTACGTTATGTGCCCCTGTAAGATAACAACCCTTTTCTACTTAATGACCGTACAGGTCTATGCCGTATCTAATTAAGGATGATTTCTTGTTTCCTCTATTGCTGAAGAGTCATAACTTGCCACAGATAAAGACAGACATGGAACTGGTCCCGACAATCAGGGAGGGTGGGACAGAGGGGGAGGGGCAGGTAAATCAAACCAATGAGGGACGGAGACAGTCATACCAATCTGCTCGTAGGGTTTATTGTCAGTTTAAACAGAGTTTTTTTGTTTGACAAATAATTAACTGTGAGTATTACAGAGATGTTTGACCATGCTTAGATTGACAATGGTCGAACATATGCCAGCTTTCATGGACGTACCAAGTACAATTCACATGGATCGCCCATAATCGAATCTAACATCTTTTAGAATTTTCCTTTACACCTCTTTGGAATTTCTAAAGAAGAAGACATCTAATTTCTACGGTAATTTTCTGACTTGCTTGCCCATTTACTGTAGCAACGAACAATTTACGAAAGAAATATATATGTATGTAGCTTTTCTGCCCGAACTTCTTCTCAATAACCAAAAGGCCTAGGGTGATGTTGTTTGGTCGGTAGAATGCCGGGATTAAAGGCTTCCAGGTTTATTCGTATAAATACAAAATGTAACCAAAAGGTATAAAATGGTGATATTTGGCCAGTGACATAGGGAATGAAGGACTCCAATTTTTCTTCGAATGAATGACTTTGACCGACATCTTCTCTTCAATTAATAAAAGGCCAAGGTGACGATATTTGGCCAGCAGTATGCTTGGATGAACGTCTACAAAGTTTGTTCAAAAGAAGAACCTTCACCCACTTACAAGGTCGCAGGTCACAGGGGTCAATATGTCGAAATCTTTAAATGACTTTTTCTATATTACCAAAAATGTCTAGGGTGATGATATTTGTCAACTATCATCCCGAGATAAAGGACTAAAACTTTCGTTCGAATCAATAACACTGACAACTTTCAAGGTCACAGGTGTCAAATGTGTCAAAATGTTTAAATGGCTTCTTCTCAATAACTAAAAGGCAAAGGATGGTGATATTTCGCCAATGGCATGTTGGTAGGAAGGGCTACCAAGTTTTTTCAATTGAATGAGCTTGACACACTTTAAAGGTCACACATATCAGATCCAGTGTGATGATGTTTGACTAGTAACAGGCTTTGATGAAATACAATGTACTACAGTGTTTGTTTAAATAAATTACCTTGCCCTATATCCCCCAATTCTAAGAGGTCAAATTTTGAAAATAACGATGTATGTCTGAAAAATTTATCTGTTGTATCACCGGGATATTTGTCTGTTGTATCACCGGGATATTTGTCCGTTGTATCACCGGGATATGTGTCTATTGTATGACCGGGATATTTGTGTGTTGTATCACCGGGGTATTTGTGTGTTGTATCAACGGGATATTTGTGTGTTGTATCACCGGGATATTTGTGTGTTGTATCACCGGGATATTTGTCTGTTGTATTAACGATACATTTGTGTTGTATCACCGGGATATTTGTCTGTTGTATCCCCGGGATATATTTGTCTGTTGTATCACCGGGATATATTTGTCTGTTGTATCACCGGTATATTTGTCTGTTGTATCACCGGGATATTTGTCTGTTGTATCATCGATACATTTTTCTGTTATATCATCAGGATATTTGTGTGTTGTATCACCGGGATATTTGTTTTTATTGTATCACCGGTACATTTGTCTGTTGTATCACCGGGATATTTGTCTGTTGTATCACCGGGATATTTGTCTGTTGTATCACCGGGATATATTTGTCTGTTGTATCACCGATA